GGGGTTGTGGCATGCACCCATGGTCCCACGCACCTGGAGGGTACGACTTTGAGGCCAGCCTGGGCTGCACAACAAGACTGTCATAAAGGTGGGCTCGGACATGGTGGCCACCAAGGGAGCAGCGATGTGTGGGGAGCAGGGTGGGGCATGATGGCAGGCGCCATGCCCCTCCATTGCCTGAATTGTCTGTGGCCATAGCATCACTCCTTTATCCAAGGCAAAGTAAACTTTTAGAGGCTTGTTTGCTTTCCAGAGTTCTGGGCCTTTACACCTGTCTCCCACCTGCTACTGCGGCCCCTGGTTCCTAGGCCCTTTCTGGCTCTCCCGTCTCCCTCTGCTCCCAGCCCACGCGCTGTAAGTCCTGCTTCCTGGCGAGGCTCCGGGACCGCCCTTTCCCCACTGCTCCCTTCGGGGGCTTGTCTGGCTTCCTCTGCTTCCAACCTGAGAACGCTTGTTGGTTTAATTTCCAAACTCGGAGTTTAAAGAAAGCTGACCTCTTTCCTGGGTCCTATAAGTGGCCGTTCCTCCTGTGAGTTTTCTGGAGTGTGTTGTGAGGGGGCGTGGGGCAGGCCAATGGGTAAGGGTCTCCGGGGTGCCTGCATCAGCAGAGTGGCCGTCTGCCTCTGGTGTCATCTTGCGTGGCTCGGAGCGTGAGGCCTCGGCTTCCAGCACGGTGGGCTCCTGGGCCTGCTGTGGTGCTTCACCAGCGCCTCCAGGGCCAGGGGCAGCTGAGAGCCAGCGAGGGGAGGTGATACTGCCAGGTACGGTGACGGTCATAGGAGAGTGTCCTGCTCCCCAGTGTGGAAGGAGAACACGGAGAGACCCCTGAGGCTGCCCATGAAGCAGGGCTTACTTAAGAGGGGTCTAGGTGACTCTCCTGGGAGGGGAGGGGCCACAGCTGGTGTCCTGGTGTCCCCAGGAGCGAGGTGTCCTGCCTGCTCACATGTCCCGGGCTTCCTTTGCTCTGCTGCCCTCTCCCCTCCTCTCTGTCCCTCCTGTTACGTGACCAGGCCAGGAGTGCCCAGGGATGCTCGGTGGGAGGCCCAAAGGTGGGAACCAGGTGGGCTGAGGGGAAGGGCAGGGTGGAGCAGCCCTGGAGACCTTAACTGAAGGCCTTATAGCTCCCTGTAGGGAGGGGCAGCTCCTGGGACAGGTGACCTTGGCCACAGGTTGGAGCTGGGACAGGTTCTGGATCAGGGTGGAGGAAGGGCTCTGAAGGCATTTCAGTCCCTCAGGGGACAGTCTCCAACTTCCAGACGCACTCAGAACTGGCCTCCCTGGTCCGACTGACTCGATTTACCCATCTGTCCTGATGCCTGTCTAATTCTGGCTTCACCAGGACAGGAACTCACTGCGGTACAGCAGGGGCGGAGAGGGGGCAGTGCCAAGGGTCTGGGCTCGGGAGGCCTGGGGACAGTCAGGGCCTGGCCTGTTGTTGGCGATTCCCTGTGGGGGCCAAGGTGCTCCCTGTTCCCGCTCAGAGAAAGGCAAAGGAGGTGAGGGTGGGCATGTCTGGGAGGTGGCCCAGGTCCCTGCCTGGGTGGTGGAATTGAGGTGTGCCTGCCGCTTGCCCTCACCAGCCTCTCTGGTCCTCTGCACAGAAGGGTTTGCCAGAAGGAAGAGGACCTCCCTGTGGTTTGTGGGCTCTCTGCTCCTGGTGTCTGCCCTCATACTGACCATCGGTCTTGCTGCCACCACCAGGACGGAGAACGTGACCGTGGGAGGCTACTACCCAGGCATCATCGTGAGTCCCGGGTCCGTGGGGAGGCAGAGGGCAGGTCTTGGTGTGTCCATGGGGGGCGACCGTCCACACCAGCTCCACAGAGAGCTGGAGAGCCTACTGGTACTCTTGCTGGGCAGGATGACCCCCAGTGACCTCCATGCCCTACTCTGAGACAAAGACCAGTCATGGTTGCTGGTCAGAAGACCTTAAGACAGAGTGCTGTCCTGCACCATCCAGGTGGCCTGGGGGTGACCGCAGGGTCCTCAGGAGAGGAGGGCAGGTGGCGAATGTGGAGGAGAGCCATAGCCCAGGAGTTGGGAAAGACAGGGGCCTCCCTGGAACCAGGAGGGACCAGCTCTGACCCCAGGTTTCATCCCACACGACTGGTACCCACCGGCTCCCCTGGGAAGATGGGCAAGTGCTCTGAAAGCCTCCTGCCAAGAGGCCAGCACTGAGGGTTCTGATGTCATGCCACACTTGGGAACAGGAGGGCCATGTGCTGACGCCATCTCTGCCCACTGAGACATCGAGAGTCACATAGAAGGTCGCAGTGGCCTGCGACCCCAGACCAAACTCTCCAAGGAACTCCCAGGGGTGACTTTCACCTGCTGATATTGGTGATGAAAGTGGCCCCAGGGCCTGCAGCTTTCCGTGACCTCGGCTGACTGTGGAGCGGCTCTGGGCCTCAGTCGCACAGGAGCTCTTCCTGAACAAAGCCCTGCCCCAGAGGCGTGCTGGCCAGATTCAGCAAGGCTGGCTCCTGCTTTGGACAGCTGGGTGTGCTCACAGCAGTCGCTGCGTGCTCCCTACCTGCTGATCTAGCCGTGGCTGTTGCACCTTTGTCCCTTGTGCATCCGTGTCCCCTGTGCACCTGCGTCCCCTGTGCATCCGTGTCCCTCTGTGCACCTGCATCCCCTGTGCATCCGTGTCCCCTGTGCACCTGTGTCCCCTGTGAATCCGTGTCCCCTGTGCACCTGTGTCCCCTTTGCACCTGTGTCCCCTGTGCACCTGTGTCCCTTGTGCATCCGTGTAC